CCCCTCTCCAATTCCCTTCTTCTCCCCCTCTCCAATTCCCTTCTTCTCCCCCTCTCCAATTCCCTTCTTCTCCCCCTCTCCAATTTCCTTCTTCTTCGGCCACGCTACAGTGAGAGAGTGACAGGAGGGAGTACTGAGCGCTGAGCACTTCCCTCCTGTCAGCCCCTCTCCTCATGCTGCGCCCGGGCGGTGCGCCCTTATGGACGCACCAGCCCGGGCAAAGCTGCAGCCGCATGAGGCTCTCTGCAGAGCACTCGGGCGGCTGCAGCATGAGGGGGGCCGGCGCTCCTGGCGTCGCCCCTTCCCAAGGGGCACCCTAGGCGGCTGCCTAGTCCGCCTTACAGGTAGCGCCAGCCCTGTTTGGAATTAGGTGCCCTTGAAGGCACAGCTGTAGGGTTATAGCTAATACGGTTAGAATTGGCATAGATTTCTGCTAAATTTTTATTATTGAGCAATCAACCATTAGACAGATTGGGGCTTCATTGCATGACACTTACTGATGAGAACAAGTGATTTTCTACTCTCATAACTCTAAAACTTTAACACTATAAGTATATACTACAGATTTTATACTATTACTATATGCACTACTTTTCTTTATTGCATTTGCTATTAGAGGTTTGAGATAGGAATTCACTACAAGTTCAGTTTCACTGATCTCCTCCTTCTCCCTCTATGATCTAAATCTTTGCTAATAAATATATATCTACCTTTCTTATAACAGCTACTATCACATTAGATACTTTCAGATAGTTACTTTTTTGGAGTCAGTACTTGACTAAGTATCTTTTTGTTTAACTAGCTCTGAGAAAGTCATTCACTACTTTATATTATCTCTTGTTTGTATATATTATTATCCCTATCCCCTGTATCCCTGAGATTTAAGGTTACTTTACCTTTTTTAATTATATCTATTAAACGTTGGATTTTAAGTGTTTAATTTATTTAGGATCCCAGTTAATTAGGACAGATTATGTTCTCTCTCTTCTTATGTTTAACTTTTATGAAGGGTTACCCCCTCTAATCTGTCCTTTAGATAGTAATCATACACTTACAGTTTTTCTTCTTCTTTTTTTTATATTTTGTATATATCAATATCAATTCTCTCAACCCAAATTGGACTGTGCCTCTCCTTTTCTTCAGGTCTTCTCCCCAGTTGCTATACAGTAGGTGTCTGTGCTTTCTCTTTGCTCTTACCCCACCACTTGTCCTTTTAATCCCATTCCCTCTCACATTATTTGATCTATCTCTCCTTGCCTTGTGCCATCCATTTTCAACTGGTCTCTCTAGTCCCTATTCCCTTTAAACATGCTACTGTTTTACCCATCTTAAAAAAAACAAAAAAACCATCTCTTGACCTGTTTTCCCATCGAATTACCATTCCAAATCTCTTTTTCCTCAAAGCTTCTGGAACCACTTGTCTATTTGGCATGCTTTCTCAACTTTAACTCTCTCCTGAAACCTGGCTTCCGTCACCCCCATTCTACTCAAACTGCTCTGACTAAAGTAACTATCTAATCACTACTACACTGAACAAAATTATAAACAAAATTATAAACACAACACTTTTGTTTTTGCCCCCATTTTTCATGAGCTGAACTCAAAGATCTAAGACTTTTTCTATGTACACAAAAGGCCTGTGAGGTGGATGGATTATCTTGGCACGGGAGAAGTGCTCACTAACACAGATTTAGACAGATTTGTGAACAATATTTGAGAGAGAGAGAGGCCTTTTGTGTACATAGAAAAAGTCTTAGATCTTTAAGTTCAGCACATGAAAAATGGGGGCGAAAACAAGTGTTGCATTTATAATTTTGTTCAGTGTAATTCCAAAGACCACTACTATAAACTAATTCTTGTAGACCTTTCTTTCTGCTGCCTTTGACACTGTTGATCATCCTTCTTCAAACTCTTTACACATTTGATCTTTCATAGTTCTTGCTCTATCACTTCCACCAATCCTTCAGTGTCTCCTTTTCTATTGTCCTCACTTCATCCTGTCTTGGTTAGATGAAGTCCCACAAGGATTTGTCCTTGGTCCCCTTCTGTTTGCTCTCTATACTGACTCTCTTGGAAAATATATTAATTAGTTTGGGTTCCAATACCCCCTAGATGCTGGTGACACCCAGATATATCTCTTCTCCACCAATCTCTTTTGCTGTCCTAGAAGAAGTCTCCAGTTGCCTCTCTTCAATCTCCAATTAGAGGCCCTTCCTCTTTCTAAAACTCAACCTGTTTAAAACTGAGATGTTTATTTTCCCTACTTATAATAAAATTCCTCCTCAGTCACTCTCCCTTCAAATTAATGTTATGTGTATCAGCCTGTACTTGCAAGTTCGCTGCCTTTATGTTATCTTTGATAATGGCGTGAGCTATACACCTTATATCCAGTCTATGGCCAATTCCTCCTACATACATTGCTGCATCTGCTCATTTCTTATGCTACTGAGGAGCCTGTTCACACTTTTGTAATTTTTTTTTGCATTGACTACTGTAATTCTCTCCTAATTGGTGTCTCCAGAAACCATACGGTCTCTTTTCAGTCCTTAATGAATGCTGCTGCGGCCAGTCTGATTTTTCTCTCCTATCGCTCCTCTCACACGTCAATTGTTACATTGGCTTCTTGTACCCTAAAGGATTCAATTCAAATTATTAACTCTTATCTACAAAGCTCGCAAACACTCTACCCCTGCTATATTTCTTAACTAATTCATTTGTATGCCCCTTGTTGGCTGCTCCGCTCTGCCAGTAACCCTCTCCTATTTGCTACTCTTACTCAGACTGCTAACTTACACTTCTAGGACTTCTCTTGGGTGGCTCCAATCTCATGCAACATCATGTCTCCCCTTCAGACTCTTCCTAAGTCTCCAAACCTTTAAGAAGTCACTAAAACACACCTTTTTACAATGGCCTATAGACTCCAAAGTGGACTACCATTATTCTTGCAACTTAATTAGTGGGCCAATTGTCCACCTCTCTCTCACCTGTCATCTTATGCTACTTTTCCACCCTGTCCCTTGCATACTATACCCCACGCTATTGTGGTTTTTACCCCACTTCCTCTAGAGGTGAGGGTTCTCATCAACCTGTTTGTTATTGTAAAATAGTTTGTCTATTTTATTGTTAAATTCCCTCCTTTAAAACATTGTATTGTGCTGGGCAATACGTTGGCCTTTATAAATGGCAACAATAACAATATAGGTTGTAAAAAAGGCACACATGCACAATGATTAGGTTTCACACAACTCTACACAATATGCTGTATGTATTTGTTTGGAGGGTCACTGTGTATATGCGTATATTTCCATATTGCAATATTAATATATGCTGTATGTACTTATGTGGAGTGTCACTGTGTATGTGAATGTTGGTATATGTTTGTGATAAATGTAAGTGTGTGAATGCAGACATGGATTGTATTAGTGTGAGGTGTCACAGTCGGATTTATTCACTAAACTTGGAACTATACTGAATTAAAATCACAATGGAAAAGAATTAGGTAAAAATAAATGAAATGGAAAGATTCTCTAGCTCAGATACCTTAGAGTGAATTTTGCCATTTAGATTTAAAGTTAGTAAATAAACCTGTGTGTGAGAATGTAGCTATATATGTGTGCTACATGTTAGTGTGTGTGAATGCAGGAGTATATTTGTATTTCATTTTTCAAGATTCTTTTGTTTCAGGTGTTGTACCGGAGGATTGGAGGAAGGCAGCTGTTGTTCCTATATTTAAAAAGGGTTCAAAATCCTTGCCTGGAAATTATAGACCTGTGAGCTTAACTTCTGTAACTGGGAAAATATTTGAAGGGCTATTAAGGGATAATATTCAGGAATTCATTGGGAAGAACATTATTAGCAATAATCAGCATGGTTTTATGAAACATAGGTCATGTCAAACTAACCTAATTGCATTCTACTAAGAAGTAAGTAGAAGTATAGATCAGGGTGTTGCAGTGGATGTGATCTACTTGGATTTTGCCAAGGCATTTGATATGGTTCCTCACAATAGGTTAGTCTTCAAACTAAAAGAAATTGGTCTAGATGAATATTCTTGTTCTTGAGTAGAACATTGGCTTAAGGATAGAGTACAACGAGTTGTAGTTAATGGTACATTTTCAGGCTGGACAAAAGTGGTAAGTGGTGTCCCTCAGGGTTCTGTTTTGGGACCACTTCTATTTAGCATATTTATAAATGATCTTGAAATAGGCATTGAAAGCCATGTATCAGTGTTTGCAGATGACACAAAACATTGTAAAGTAATAAAATGTGAGCAGGATATTGCTTTGCTGCAGAGAGATTTGGATAGATTGGGGGACTAGGCACTAAAATGGCAGATGAAATTTAACAGAGAAATGCAAAGTTATGCACTTCGGGTTTAAGAATGCACAAGCAACTTACACACTAAATGGTAGTGAATTAGGGATAACCACACACAAGAAGGATTTGGGAATTGTTATAGACAACAAATTAGGCAGCAATATGCAATGTCAATCTGCAGTTGCTAAGGCCAGTAAGATTTTGTCATTTATAAATAGGGGCATAAATTCTCGGGATGAAAATATAATTTTGCCTCTTTATAAATCGCTGGTAAGACCACACCTTGAATATGCTGTGCAATTTTGGGCGCCTGTTCTAAAGAAGGATATCATGGCACTGGAGAGGGTCCAGAGATGAGCTACAAAATTGATAAAAGGAATGGAGCAATTTAGTTATGAAGAAAGGTTAAAAAAAATTAAATCTGTTTAGTTTGGAAAAACGGCGCCTGAGAGGGGATATGATAACTTTATACAAATATATTCGGGGCCAGTACAAACCTTTATCTGGAAATCTATTCATAAACAGGGCTATACATAGGACACGATGTCACACATTTAGGCTGGAAGAAAGGAGATTTCATCCAAGGCAGATAAAAGGTTTTTTTACAGTAAGAACAATAAGGATATGGAATTCTCTGCCTGAAGAGGTGGTTTTGTCAGAGTCTATACAGATGTTTAAACTGAAATTGGATAAATACTTACAAAAACATAACATACAGGGATATAATTTCTAATTAGTGGGGTAATAGCTGCTTGATCCAAGGAGACATCTGACTGCTATTTTAGGGTCAAGAAGGAATTTTTTCCTAGTTTGTGGCAAAATTGGAAGTGCTTCAGACCACGTTTTTTGCCTTCTTTTGGATCAACAGCAACAACATTTGTGAGGAAGGCTGAACTTGATGGACGCAAGTCTCTTTTCAGCTATGGAACTATGTAACTATGTATTGTATTCCTGCCACTGTATGTTTTGGAATGCAGGGTTGCACTTGCATTGTGTGTCAGTATGTTTGTGATTGCTAGGGTGTATTTATGTGAAAGATAAGTGGGTGTGAGTGCAAGGGTATGCATAGGCTCAAATGTGTGTGAATGAAGTTTGTATTGAATATGCAGCTAATGTTTTTTATTATAAGCTTTTTTTCATATTTTTGTATACACTTTTCAAATGATTTAACATTTTTGCATATGTTTTTGAAGGATTTTCTTTTCAAAATATTAAAATATCCAAAAATATAGAAAATATAGAAATATTTTTTAAAATAGTAAATCATCTGAAATGTTTATCCAACAATATTAAATTAAGGCTTATGTTAGGTTTTGGACCATCTCTCTTTTTCTATACAACCTCTGTCTGTGTTGTCTCTCTCTTTCTCTTTTACTGGTTAATCTCTCTCTCTCTCTCTAGTTATATAATAACCCTTGCTGCCTTTTCAAGTTTACTCCATTTTAGTTCCCCAATGTCACCCTGTCTACGTTTTTGCCCTTCAGCGTGATTTAGCTCTTCTACCTTATGACTGCTTCCACTAACAACCTAATTCACTTTCTCTTACCTCATGTTTATTTAGCACTGGGTCATCCTGTCTATCTTTCTTCTCACTCAAGGTATGTGTGGCTGCCACTAAATCAGTATCTACCCCAAATGGCCGGAGGGAGAATAAAAGCACACAAAAAAGGCAAAGTGCACAAGTTGGGCTGGCTTTAAGGATTTTTGCTACCTTAGGCAGCCTTAGTTTGGAAATATCCCCAAAAGGTCTGCATGGCTGAATTATAAGGAAAAGGAAGGTGAATGTGTTACATTCCCATCTGTGAGTCCATGACTTTATGTTTGAGCCGGGAACCTAACCAGAAAACATGCTATAAAATGATCTGCTCCCTAGGACCCCCAAACAGGTAAAACTCAGTGGACCCAGTCTTCGTTGCAATCCTGGTAGTTCTGCCATTGATACAGCACACATTTGAATCTCAAAGCAAATTCACCATATTAAGAGCTGTAGGGAAAAGAGAAAATGTTGAGAGGTACTTACCATTCTTTGCTAGTTCTGCCAGAACCTGGGCTGCTTTCTCTGCACAAGTTGGGCTGGCTTTAAGGATTTTTGCTAGGGCTGGTAAAACATTATAGTCTGTAAGCAGTTTGGCTGATTTCTGCACTGTTGAGAAAGCATAAAGGAAGCATTTCACATTTTGCCACAAAGATTATGAAACATTCTGTACTGTATGAAGTTTGCAAAGAACAATTTGGGCTGTATAAATATGTGAATTGACATTACTGTTGCATTCATCACTAATTTATGAGACTCACTTGAAACCTGAGCAATAGAACGAGCTAAAGAATGGTTTATTTGATAAATATTAACACCTTAAGGCCTGGGGACTAGTCTCATCTTCTTATCATTCTTTTTGACATTCTTTATTTTTCACAGGTCACATTACGTACATCTCAGGGTAATAGCAGATGGTATCAGCAGTATATCACAGAAATAGTACATACAAATAGTGAAGACAAGTGTATAGAAAGA